ACCCTCCAAAAACCAGCCGAGGGAGAGCGCAATGCAACTTGCGCGCTATGCAACGAAGCCGGACATCCAGCGAACTGGAAAGGGTGCCCCATGTACCCCAGGAAAAAGCCGCAGAAGCAACAACGCACTGCAACCAAGAAAAGCAACGCCAGCAACGCTCTTGAATCTCGACTGATGAGCCTAATCACGGCCAACCTATGCGCAATTATAAGAGCAGCCATCAATGAAAGCCATGAGCGATAAACCATCAGCTCTAAAAATTGCTTCTTGGAACGTTAACGGACTAAGGGCTCGACGCATGGAAATAGAAAATTTCTTAGCACAACATAGCCCTGATGTAATGGCGCTACAGGAAACTAGGACACCAAAAACACACAGAGTCTCGTTTCATAATTATGCCTTCTACAGATACGATCACCCCAACCCCAACCATAGCGGTACAGGACTACTTGTCAAACAGCTATTAGATCACCAATTTATTGATGTCAATGACACAGAGGCAGATGCAGTTACAGTGGAAATCAATATGCAACACGAACGGCTGAAAATTACATCAATATGCAAGCCACCCTTGGAAAAAGTAGACCCGGAAGACATCGCCGATCTACTCGGAGGACAACAACCAAAAATCATAATTGGCGACCTTAACTGCAAAAACCCTGCATGGAATAGCAAACAATTTAACAGAGAAGGCAGACGACTGGCCGACATGGTTGAAACACAGGGAGCTGTAGTGGTAGGCCCTGAAGAACCAACATACCTGCCACGCTCCCAAGGACTACCAGATGTACTGGATGTTGCAATCCTCAAAAACATAGGATATCTGACAACTATTAAAACCATAAACGACGGCACTTCCGATCACAATCCAATAATGCAAACGCTGGGCAACATCACCGGAAAAACTGATGTAATTGTCAAAAGCCGTACGTGCTGGAAACAATATAAGCAACAAGTCCATAATCTTGTAAAGATCCCTATCATTAAAAATGCAGAAGAACTTGAGCAGGCAACAGACGCTCTCGAAGCAGCAATTCTTCGGGCACACTACTTGAGCACTGAAACAACAGAGTCCAGAAATAAACACCCCAATGGAGAGCTACCGCCCCATATTAAACGGCTCATACAAACGCACCGAAGGCTGAGACGAAATTATAAAAACCATCCAAATAACGAGAACAGGTGCACACTAAATCAAAAAGGACAGCAGCTTCGAAATGCTCTTCGAGATTTCCGACACACCAAATGGGACGAAAAACTCAAGGAACTAAATCCAGAAGACCAAAGCCTCTGGCGCATGCAACGCAACCTGCGAAATGAGAAAATGCACATTCCACCTCTGCATGGCGCAAATGGGACAGCGTACACAAAACAGGACAAAGCCGAAGCCTTTGCAGACGCCCTGGAAAGGGAGTGCAGAGAAAACACCCACCCAGCAGCAGACAAAGAACATCAGAAACAAGTACGGCAAACTGTGGAAGACCTGCGACGGGTAACGGAAGCAGAGGAAGT